GAATCAACACTATTCACAATAGCAAAGACTTGGAATCAACCCAAATCAATCCATCAGTGACAGACTGGATTAAGAAAATGTGGCACATATACACCATGGAATACTATGCAGCCATAAAAATGGATGAGTTCATGTCCTTTGTAGGGACATGGACGCAGCTGGAAACCATCATTCTCGGCAAACTATCGCAAGAACAGAAAACCAAATACCGCATGTTCTCACTCATAGGTGGGAACTGAACAATGAGATCACTTGGACACAGGAAGGGGAACATTACACACTGGGTCCTATTGTGGGGAGGCGGGAGGGGGGAGGGGGGAGGGATAGCATCAGGAGATATACCTAATGTAAATGATGAGTTAATGGGTGCAGCACACCAACATGGCACATGTATACATATGTAAGAAACCTGCACGTTGTGCACATGTACCCTAGAACTTAAAGTATAATTTTAAAAAAAAGAAAGAAGCAGATAAACATTAAGAGTGAGAACCATTTAAGCAGGAAGAACTGTTTTCAGGCATAACATCTATGCCTGCAAAATCCATTCTCTACGTTCATGATCTTTATGGCAACAGCTCTTAAACAAACTAGATCTAAGAAAAAAAAATCTAGTTACTGCAGTTTTCTTTTTAATGTGCATGAGAACAGGCCTACATACGCACATGCATGCACACACACACGCATGCACACACACATGCATACACACTCACACACAAATACACACGGATATACACACACTCAAAAGCGTGCACACAGACACACAGTCTTATCTTTTTATACCATTCAAGTTGTTTCCACTTGGATCTTCATGCTTCTTAGAAATGTCATCCTTCTCTTGGATTCTCCTGTCACCATGGAGAAATTGGTTGTGCAGCCCAGAGTCAAAAGCTTTGGCTGTTTTCTTATCAGTATGCTGTACTTGCCTAGAGACTTTTTTTTCATTTCAGGTGTGCTTTTCTTGCCAGAAAAGCAGAGTGGATGGCTGATTACAAATAGAGGCCTTAGGCGGTGGTAATTGAGGACTGGTACAACCACAGTGGCATACAGTTTAGAGGAAACATTGCTTCTGACTAAGTGGGGAGAGACTAGAAATTTTCCTGAAAACAGGAAGCGCAGACAATGGTCAATAACTCCAAACAACAAATGTTAAAGCATCTGGGGAAAAATATCTGCAAGATTGCATTCAAGTTAAACTTCTGCTCTTGAAATCAATCCTACATATTGCTAATATTGACTGTGTTGCCTTCACCTAGAAATTGACCCGAGGTCATTTTAAAGAGCATCCTCCCTACTACTGCTCCCTTCCCACTCCCTGTAAACCCCACTCCCCGCCTTGTTCACCCATCCCTGGAATTCTCTAAGCAAACTGAAAACTTTTGTTCCCCCGTTCAGTTCATACGGATGGACTGCCTGTCATGTGCTGGGTCTAGGGGTTCTGGTAGATGAATTGTGCTTGCCTTAAGGAGTTTACAATCTGGAAAGTTCAAGGAAAAGAAACTTATAAATCAGAAAGAAAAGTAACATCCTTGCTTAAATTGGCACTAAGGATCTTGTTTCTTTGGTTGTATCTCACAGTTGTCCACGAAAGGACCTCAGTGATGAGGGGAATAAACACATAAGGTTGACACTCTAAGGACAAAGCCCAAAATGGTTCATCACAATCGCAAAATATTTTTAGAAATATCATGCCTTATATTTGTAGTTTTCAACCAAGCATGACTTTTCCACTCAACTACAGGGGACATTTGGCAGTGTCTGGAGACATTTTTGGTTGTTATAACCGAAATTGTGCATCTGGGGGTTGAGGCCAGGGATGCTGCTAAACATTCTGCGATGCACAGGACACTTCCCTGCAACAAAGAATTACCCAGCCCAAAATGTCAAGTGCTGAAATTAAGAAATCCTGCTTTATATTAAAATACATGCACATTTTGTATTCTATTCAATGTTCAGTATAATATTATTTTACACCTTTTTTTTTCTTTGAGTAAAATTGACACTGTAAGAAAATGGGTCATGTTTATCTGGTGCCCTAGCCTGAGGTCTGATACATGGCCATGAACCACGCTTTGAAACAGATGGCCCCATCCCTGTCTTTTGATTGATTCCCTCTTTCTACAGCTTAGTTCTGACCTTCTCTGGAAGACATCTCAGAGGTTCACAGCTGATAGTTGTCTGATTTAGCAAATAAAAATACTGTTTCCTGGTTAATTCTGAATTTCAGAAAATTGATAAATGATTTTTTAGCATAAGTATATCCCATGCAAAGTTTAGGATGATTAAAATTTAGAATTTGAACTTGGGATTTGAATTTCAGATAAACAGCAAATAATTTTTGAAATATATGTGTGTCCCATCCTATATTTGGGATCTAGTGATACAAAAAAGTATTCACTTTTTAATTCTGAAATTTGACTTTAACTGGGTATCCTGTGTTTTATCTGGCAATCCCATTGCAGTTGTGTCTGCTGTCACCTCTCAACATCTATGTTATGAGGAATATTCCTCCCTCTATATTCTCAGTTAATGACTGCATATAGACCTATTAGCAAGCATGTTTTAACCCTCTGAGTAAAATCTATGTTTCATAGTTTTTGTTCTTTTTGCCTGGAAAAATGCCCTGAACATTGCAGGAACTCAAAAAATATTTTGTGGATAATGTGTCATGTCATTGTAATGCTACACGGGGAAACTAAAAACTTTATTAGGTATCATTGTATAATAAGTGATCAAAAAACTAGGATTTTAGCAGTGAGTACTGATTAGGGCAGCTCGGCTATGAGTACCTGAGACCAAAAAAAAAATCATTTCTAAAAGAAGACAGAAGTTTGTTTCTCTCTTGTATAAAAGCAGGCTGGAGATCAATTGGAAAAACCGGTGTGGAGTCTCCACAGCCAGAGACCCAGGCTTTTTCCAGCTTCTCACTCTACCATTCCTAGGGTGTGGCCTTCATCCTCATGTTCCAAATGGCTGCTGGAGATGCAGCCCTCGTATCTATATTCCATAAACCAAAAGAGTAGAAGAGAAGAAGAAAATATCATCCCTGACGTTCAAAATGATTTCCTCTACTTGCATCTCACTGAGCAGAACACATATACATGGTCTCACAGAGCTACAGGGGTGGCTGACAAATGTGGTCTTTATTCAGGGGAGAAGAGTGCTCAACTAAATGTGAAGTTAATATGAGAGTAAGGTGGAAAATGGATATTTGATGGGGGGAAAAGTACAGACATACAGGTCTCTTCTGGCTTCAGTTGCTAACTCTCTTACCACTTTTGAAATTCTATCCTTTATTCTGAAAATAACTGGGAAATAGAAACTAGAAGATTCCTGATCCCCATCACAGCTATTCAAACTTTGGTTGTTTTCAAATGCGACCTCCTTCACCCAGCATTCTCAGATTCTTCCTCTTGCTTATCTGACCCTCATGAACTATCCAAGCACTTACTGTGCCTCTCCTGGATGTGCGCCATTTTTTTTTTTAACCTCACATTGTAGTTATTTGTGTGAGTTCACATTTCCCCCACTAGATTGTAGACATCTTGAGGACAGAGTCAGTTTTAAAATCATGTCCCTGGCTTCTTGATGTCTTACACACGCTAAGGATTTAATATTTGTTCCACAGGTGAACCACTGTCCCGTACCTGAGGGAGAGAAGTGACAACCTGGCATGTACCCATAGGCATGCAAGGGAGATGTCCGTGTTATCTTTAGTGGTTGCACAGATAATGTGCTGTGGAGATTATTTCATTTTGTTATGTGGCTTTGGTAAAAAGGAAAAATGAGTTTGTTTCAGGACTGCAGGGAGCTTTTTAATGTAACTGATGTGAGAGTCTCAAGATTTGGGATAAAATCCTACCCCAACCTGCTCATGAAAGCCTCACGTCTGCAAAACTCACCATTACCAAATGACATGGTGCAGAAAGGTTGTTAGGAAAGGCTAATGCCTATACATCTGGTGTAATGAAGAAATGGGAGGGTTAGGCACAGGAAACCACAGCTCCAACAGAAGGAGCTGAAAAGATATAGATAAGATTAGTGACATATGTAAAGGCCCAGATACTGTGTGACAAAGTCTACCCAGCTGAATAGGCTGAAGCCAGAAGTAATAGGAAGGCCATGTTCTCCCTAATCCTCCAAGATAAGCTGTTCCATCCAGAATTATCAGCCAACAATCTTCAGGGTATCAGGCTGAAAATGAAGTTTCAAACTGCTTTGATTCCTCATCCATAAATGAGAAAGTGCCTGAAGGATCTTTATTTATTCTCGCTCCCACCGAAACACTCTTCAAAAAGTGCCAATATACTAGCAACAGATGCATAAAGCCTCCCTTCGTTTGATTGACGGAACATGATATGAAGCAACCCTCACTTGACATTTCAGTTTCATAAGGCTCCTAGCAGGGGGAGGAAAAAAAAAATCTTGAAAAAAATTCACTAGAAAATAAAGAGGATTTATGCAAACTCACATGAATGTTTTCAGAATCAAATTTAACAGTTTTATTTCTCTGCAGCCCTTATTCTATATTTTGGGTTGCAGATGAATCATTTCAGCAGGAGTAATTTCAGCCATTTGCTTATTAATGTTTATGGCTTATTAAAACAAAGTATTTACATATTAATGTTTGTTGATTACTGGATGTTTAAGTTGCTTAGTTGTAAATGATTGAGATATTCACTCTGGGGAGGAGATATTTAATTTGGTGTTGTGTGTGCTTTAATTTAGATTTCAAAATAAGTAATTGAATGAGAAAATGTCATCTACACCTATGCATTTCAGTTTTGAAAGGTCATCCCGTGGTTAGTTTATACATCTTCAAATTCTTGTCACATTGCTCAATAAGATATTAAAGTCAACTTCACCCTATACATATTTCTTTCAATTGACATATAAATGTTCTGTTTGAAATAATAACTAAATTTAATGCCTACATATTTCTTATGGAAGAAAGGTTGGAAAATCTTCTAAATGAGCCTAAGAGAAAGACACTAATTCTTTTTGTTTTATCAAAGGAATTTATTTTTACATTTAATTGCTCTCTGACTTTTTTTGCAGGTTATCTGAAGTTGGAGTTCTTCATGCTCTGTGGAAACTGTAGTATATAGAACTCCAGCATTTTCCTGACAAACATCAAAGCTACTTTGGATCTGGGGTTGACTTCACGTCCCTCAAAGAGCATTTCAAATGGCAATCTTCAGACTGCAAAGAAAACTTGGGGTGAGTAAGAGCAAAAGAAAGAATATACCAAACTTGACAAACCTTGGCTTGATAAAAGTCAGTTTCATTTCAAACATAATTTGCTTGTCTCCTCTTGTTTTCTCCACTTTCTAACCAGCTAAACAGTAGTGAGCAAACAAGTGTTGCCAATAACCATGTCATTTTTTCCCATGGTGCCAGTGGTGTTAGTGATGGAGTGGCTTAATATATTGGTTATTTTACCAGAAGGAAGTGGAAACTTGAGGGAAGGAAAGCAGAGTAACCATGTTCCTAGCAATGGTACTTTTGCTGGCACAGAGTTACTCTCAGAGAAGCCAGAAATGGGTTATGGAATTGCTCTTTCTTGATTGGATGAGAGATTGCTGTAATGTTTTCGGATTTTAACCAACTACCAAGAAGCTCTAAGGACTCTTCAACGACGAGTAATCTTCACCTTTGAAGAGAAAGCCTTGTCTGAATTCCTATAGCAGAAAGAGGAGGAATTAGACTGCAAAGATTGAACAGACAGTATATAGAAACAAATATTTACATAAATTTAGGGAAATTCATTTTACTTCTTTGTGTCTCTGTTTGCTTTCTCCAGTTGTGCCTTCTCTTCCCCCCTAGTAGTAGATAGAATTCTACTCCCCCTTTCACTTAGTATTGGAATATTCATCTTTGATCCAATAATTCAAATGAGACATGCAAAATGAATGAAAGAGCATAGGATGAGGTGGAGTCTCGGGAGTATATAATTAGGCTCCAGAAAAAAAAATTAACTAAATTTAGCACATATGCTCAACTATGGACCCTGAATCGGAAATAGATTGTTAAATTTTAAAGCATTCATGAAACTGGCTCATGAGAAGTTCAAGACTTGGCTACCAAAGACATAGATGGGAAATGGATTTTGGCTAACAATTATTTATTTATTTATTTATTTGAGACAGAGTCTCACTCTGTTGCCCAGGCTGGAGTGCAGTGGCGCGATCTTGGCTCACTGCAACCTCCACCACCCAGGTTCAAGCAATTCTCTTGCCTCAGCCTCCTGAGAAGCTGGGGTTACAGGCGGGTGTCACCACGCCCGGGTAACTTTTGTATTTTTAGTAGAGACGGGGTTTCGCCATGTTGGCCAGGCTGTCCTCGAACTCCTGACCTCAGGTGATACACCTGCCTCAGCCTCCCAAAGTGCTGGGATTATAGGCGTGAGCCACCACGCCCGGCCCAGTCATTCATTCTTAATGACTCTAAACCCTTGAATCTATTTTCTCAGTTTGCTTGGTGATTAAATGGTATCATGGCACAAAATGTCATGTATTCATTTAAACCTCACAGAGACACCCAAGATAATACAGGCTAGGAGTGGGGATGTTGTAGCAGGACCTTCCATCCTCTCTAGGAAATGTAAAAATGTCCTGCAGTTTTTCAGAAGGATTTCATCATAACTGGACCTTGAATAAGGAGAGACCCTTATAATCAGCAGAGAGTAGTAGAATAAATCTGGTTGGCGTAGAAGCTTCTCCTAAAAATCCATAGTCCTTTTTGTAATGCTTATGGTGAGACTGGAATTTTGTATACTTCATCTCAAGTAAATTTCACGATAACCCTAAGAGATGAGTACTATTATATTCCTCATCTTACATAGAAGGAAACTGAGGCTTCTTTCTGAGCTTCACTGAGTAAGGTTAGGTAAATTGCTAAGACCACACAGCTAATACATAACCGAATCTAACTCCATATTCAGCTCTGACTACAAGTCCAGCCTATGGTCACCGCTTTATATGGCTAGTTTCTGACTCTTCGTCGGGAGTCACTTCTACACATTGCTTGCACACGCACTTACTCTATATTGTAATGAAAAAGAAACCAACCGTAGCCTATATTTTACTTGTAAAATCTTTGGATCTTCAGGCATAATGAAACTATTTCACAGTATGCAATGTGCACAGGATTGCCACAATATAATTACGGTATCAGTCAGTGTTGTGTGTGCATGTATGTGCTTAAAGGAGTCATTCCATCATTCTCAAATATACTTTCCATGCATAAGAATACAAACTTTGCTAAATGCATCGTGTCAGAATGACACTTATAATTTCAGGATATGTACAAATTAAATACACCACTTAAAATGCAAAAACCTCAAATAGACTAGATTCTAAAGCTGGCCATTTAACACATAATTATTGATTAACTCATGCTATGCTATACAGGCAAATCTTACATTTAGTTGACATTGGTACAAGTCACATATAAGCTGGTGCATTTTACTGTAACTCATGGTCACTATTAATTGTCTAAATTTCTTACAAATGCAGATCGTTGCTGTTAGAGGAGCTAGACATGAATGTGGACAAATCAAGATTCCCTTTCTCCCTCACCAGGCCTCCTATACAAGTCAGTAGCAGATTATATAATAGATTATGTTCAAAATAAAAAGTATGCTTTTTTAAAGACATAATCATACTCTCATTAGCACAGGAGATGCCTTGTTGGAAATGGGAATGCTAAATAAATCAGCATGATAGAGTGTGAAGATGTGGTTCCTATGTATTGAATATATGGCATATGTTCAATCATTTACAGTGCCTGAAATAGTCCCTGTTCGAGAGTAGACACTCAATAAATATTTGAATGGATTCTCCATTCACTTGAACTCCCTTGAAATCATCACAAGTCATGGGACATTATTTCTTCTGGATATCAGCCACGCCATTGTAGTCCTTCTTCCTGTCTGCAGGGATGTCTGCCTGCCATCTGCCTATCCCAGTTGTGACCTGATCTTTAGCCCCTGCTTCCCCTCCTGCAAATTTTTCCCTTGAGAGCACCTCAAGGGAAAGCCACCATCACCCTTGAATTTTAAAATCACACTTGCTAGTCTTACTTGCACTATTGCCCCACTTCTGCCATGTTTAGTAACATACTTTTTATCAGCTATTATGCGAAATAATTGTTCAGCTGAACACAAAGCAACAGCAGAATTAGAGACTCAAGAGAGTCCACAAACTCATTGATAAAACTTTCAAACTGAGGAGAGTGGTCTGTTCCCATTCACAGACAGAGCCAAGCACTGCAATGTACTCTTCTTCTGTACTGGCTGCCCCATCATAAGAGAATCAAGAATCCATTACATTGAACATAGATCTTTAATAAAAGTATTTCTGAGACAGAGTAATATAACAAATCAGTAGTATAGGAGGAAGTCTTAAATATATGCCTGTATTCTAGGTATAAAACAAAAGATTTGTATTGTTTTGCTCTTTTATTTTTAAATTTATTTTATTATGCATACCATAAAGTGTACAAATTTAAAATATCTATTTTCATGAATTTTACAAAAGAAACACAACCACCACACAGCCCAGATTTAAATAATTACCAGCCAACCAGAGACCTCTCTCATACCCACTTCTAATCATTACTTACCCTATTCCCACCCCACATCAAAGGAGCTCTAAAATTGATTACCAAAGATCAGTTAACCTGTCTTTTTATTTATTATAAATGTATTACATCGTGTAGACTTCATATACTGTAGGCTCAATTGTGTCTTCTTCACTCAATCTTTTACCTGTAAGATTCGTCCATGTTGTTGTTGCTATTCTCATTGCTATGTAGTATTCCACTGTATTATAATTTCACAGTTAATCCATTCACTTTGTAATGGACTTTTGGATTTTCATCAGTTTGGGACTAAGGTGAATAATGGTGTTATAAACATTCTTGTACACATTGCAGTGCACGTTCTTAACATTTCTGTTGGAAATGCAATCATGCGCCACATAATGACATTTCAGTCTGTGACAGACTACATATATGACAGTGGTCACATAAGATTATAATACAGTATTTTTACTATAGCTTTTCTATGTTTAGATACACAAATACTTAACTTTGTGTTACAACTGCCTGTGGTATTCAGTACAGTAACATGCTATTCAGGTTTGTAGCTTAAGAGCAATAGGGTAGACCGTGTAGCTTAGGTTTGTAGTAGGCTGTACCAGTGATGAAATTGCCTAACAATGCATTTCTCAGAACATTTCCCCATTGTTTAAGTGATGCATGACTGTATATTTAGGAGGGAAATTATTGCATTACAGGATAAATGCATTGTTAGTTTTTAAAAGGTATTGCCAAACTGTTTCCCAATGTGGATGAGAATTCTCAGTTACTCTATGACCATCAAGCACTTGCTATATTCTGGGGATTTGGGGTTTGAGTTTGTTGTAATCATTCTTGTGGATGTATAGTAGTAATTCTATGTGATTCTATTTGTGTTTCCCAGATGCCTAATGCTGTTGAACACCTTTTCATGTGCTTATTGGTCACTTGAATATTCTTTTTCATAAAATGGTTGTTAAAATTATTGGCCATTTTCTTGCTGGCTATTTATTTCTTATTGATATACAGAAGACATAGATTAACATATAAAATACATGTATAGATCCACAAAATCATAGGAATTCTTTGCTGGAGATATATGGCAAATTTCTTCCATTCTCTCACTAGTCTTTTTATTATCTGAATGAGATCATCTAATAAAATAAAGTTCTGAATTTTAATTCATTCCAATTTATCAATCTTTCCTTTTATGGCTATTAGCAGCACTCCAGGATTTGAAAAAGAAAAAAGAAAAAAAAACTGCCCAACTGAAGGTTAAAAAAAAACTCTTTTAAGAAGCTGCATGGTTTTAACTTTCTCATTTAGTTCTATGATGTTTCTGGAATTGATTTTTTGTATATGGCATAAATTAGGGGCCAAGATTTTTTTAAGTTGGGATATAAAATTAATCTAGCACTATGTTTAAAATGCACCTCATTTTACATTGCACTACAGTGGCACATTTGTTGTAAATAAGTTGTTTATGTGAATCTGTCACTGGGCTCTTTTTTCTCTTCATCTATTTATCCATCTTGGCATCAATACTGTTTTAATTAATACAGTCTCAATAAATGCTTACATAAAATCTCCAACATTCTTTCTCTTCTTCAAGATTACCTTTGCTATTCTTGGCAAATCTGAAATTTTTATTGTCATTTTATTGAACCTGTAGATAAATTTAGAGAGAAGTGACATCTTAAACAATAGCCTCCTAATTCTTAAAAATGGTATGACTCTTCATTTATTTAGGTAGTTTATCTCATTAATCTTTTTTTAGTTTTCTGTGCAGAAATTTTACACATACTTTGTTAAATTTATCCCTGGGTATTTTATTTTTTATACTATTATACCTGTGTATTTTTCAGTTTTTGTACATGATAAATTTTTGCTAATATATAAAAGTATAATAATGTCTTTGATATTGCTCTGTGTTTATACATAGAGTTTCCAGATTTTCAATGTAAACAATCTCATCATCTGTAAATAATATGGTTTTTCCCTCTCCTTTCAATATTTATACTTTTCATTTTTCTTGCTGACTAGGATCTCCAGTAAAATGTTGAGTAAAAGTGATGGTAACTGATATCATTATGCCTTTCCAAATTCAGGATAAAAAGTTTCAACAATTCAACCTTAAGGATTATTTGTATATTTTTGAAGATATCCATTATTAGATGGAGAAAGTTTCTTTCTATTTCTAGTTTACTAAGAATTGTGTCATGAATAAGTGTTATCTTTTATCAAATATTATTAGTAACCTATGGATATAATCATGTTTTTTCTTCTTTATTTTATAAATGAAATGAATTACATCCATTGACTTTTTGAATGTTAAACCAATCTTGCATTCCTGGACAAAGCTAACTTGCTTTCCATTATTCTTTATATGTGCTTCTGGATTTAATTAGCAAAGCTTTGGTTTAGACATTTTGCCTCTATGTTACTGAGAAATATATGTTGGCAAAATAATTGGTACCTGCTTCTGAATTAGTGGCATCAAGTGGCTTTCTGCAGATGTTTTGTAAAGGGGCCAATAACCTCTTTCAACCAGGATACTGATATTCAGTGCTGTGTCTCTTATACGATAATAAGGCTTAGACATCCCTGAGCAAATTTAGCTAAGACTTTTGAGTTTTATGAGTTCTCCTGGGCCCTGGATCTTCATAGCGAGTGGTAGAATAGAGGCACTGGCTCAGAGCTTGGTGGACATGTCTCTGAGCCCACAGCTTTCTCTTGTAGATAGGTACAACAAATCCACGGAACAACGGTTTGCCTTCAGGATAAATTCCAAACTCTTTAATACAGAAGCCAAGACCTGTGGGTCCTGGGATCTACAGATCTCTCTAGCTTCATATCTTACTCTGCTTCCTAGCTCCCTCTTGTAATCTACAAGTCCAATGCACTATCCATTGCACTACAGAGCCAGGTCCTCTTGCAATCTGTATGGTTCGTATGTACTGACTTACTTATAGTTCCTTGAATATATCAAGCTTTCACTCACTTTAGAGACAGGACCACCTTTTCTCCTGCCAGGACCTACCTTTTCTATTTAGGTCTTTTCTTTTTTAGTGTGCCTTATTATATACAGAGATATCACAGAGGATGGCTACTATGTCTTACTAATCTTTTTATCCTACAAACTTGACCAGTATATAAGAGGCACTCTAAAACAATGTTCGTTTGAAATGAATGAATTAATGAAAATGTATTTACTACAAGTCTCCTATGTTCAGTGTCATCTCAGTGTAAGAACTAAAGAATAGGCCGGGCTTGGTGGCTCATGCCTGTGATCCCAGCACTTGGGAGGCCGAGGCGGGCAGATCACCTGAGGTCAAGTGTTCTAGACCAGCCTGGCCAACATGGCGAAACCCCGTCTCTACTAAAAATTAAAAAATTAGCCAGGTGTGGTGGTGGGCACCTATAATCCCAGCTACTCGGGAGGCTGAGGCAGGAGAATTGCTTGAACCCGGGAGGCAGAGGGTGCAGTGAGCCGAGATTGTGCCACTGCACTCCAACCTGGGTGACAGAGCAAGACTCTAAAAAAAAAAAAAAAAAAAAAGAACACAAAGATAAGTGAGAAAAGCAATAACATCACTAATTTATTCATTAATTAAGTCAGCAAATAACTACTGAATATGGATAATTGACATCTTTATGCTTTCTGAATTCAGGGTTAAAATGTTCAGTAATTCAACTGTAAGTTGATTATTTTTGTATATTTTTGACATTGTGTATAGCTTTTGCTAGGCAGAATGCTACGTATAGTCAATGGATGAGGCAGAAACACCCAAGTTTATAGTCTGTCTGGGGAGGGAGAGAATCAAGTTAACATAAGAAAAACAAAGGTGTGAATTTTAAAATTATAACTTGAAATATGTTCCACAAAGGGAAAAAACACAGCATTAAGTTTCAGAACATAGAGAATGGGGAATGCTTATTTCAGAGAGAACTTTCAAGGTAGCCTCACTGAGGTGTTATATTAGGCCATTCTTTCATTGCTATAAAGAAGTACCTAAGACTGTGTAATTTACAAGAAAAGAGGTTTAATTGGCTCACGTTCTTCAGGTTACGCAGGATGCATAGCAGCTTCTGCTTTTGGAGTGGGGGGTACCAGGAAGCTTCCAATCATGGCAGAAGGCAAAGAGGGAGCAGTCATCTTACACAGCAGGAGCCAGAAGCAAGAGAGGGGCAAGGGAGGTGCCACACGTGTTTAAGGGACCAGATCTCATGAGAACTCACTCACTCTTGTGACGACAGCACCAAGGGGGATGGTGCTAAACCATTCATGAGAAATCCACCCCCATGATCCAATCAGCCTCCACCAGGCCCCACCTCCAACAATGGAAGTACAAATCACCATAAGATTTGATGGGGACACAGATTAAAACCATATTAGGTGGTTACTATTAAGGAGCCAGTCAAAACTCTTACCTTTACACAGTTCTGAACCAGGGTACTTAACCAGATCATAATTTTATTCAGCTTGGTTTATCTCAGCAGTTCTCAAAGTATTGTCCAGATACCAGTAGGGGTTCCAAAACTCTTTCAGAGGAGCCGTGAGGTCAAAACTCTAATACTAAGATCATGATATTATCTTGCCTCTTTTACTCTCATTATCTTACGAAGGTATGGTGATTTCCAGAAGCTACATGGCATGTGAGATGTCACATTAGATTGAATGAAGAAAGTGTCCTTTATTAAACCAAACATTAATGAGATTTGCAAAAATATGTGTAATAGTGTCATTTCCTCACTCAATGTTTTTGTTTTAGACAATATAGTTATGTTGATAAAAACATGTTATTTGGCTGGGCTTGGTGGCTCACTCCTGTAATCCCAGCACTTTGGGAGGCTGAGGCGGGCGGATCACCTGAGATCAGGAGTTCGATACCAGCCTGACCAACATGGAGAAACCCCGTCTCTACTAAAAATACAAAATTAGCTGGGTGTGGTGGCGTGCGCCTGTAATCCCAGCTACTCAGGAGGCTGAGGCCAGAGAACCTCTTGAACCTGGGAGGCAGAGGTTGCAGTGAGCCGAGATCACACCATTGCATTCCAGCCTGGGCAACAAGAGAGAAACTCCATCTGAAAAAAAAAAAAAAAAAAAAAAAAAAAAGCGCTATTTATGTTAACATGTCATGGGTTTATTATTGCTATTTTACAATAATTTAAACAAACACCTTAAAAATTTCCAAGTTTTAATTTTCAGTATGGTAAAAATTGATAGATAAAGCCCCATAAACCAAAGTTCTTTTGAGTTCTCAAACAAATTTAGGAATATAAAGAGGTTCTGAGATTTAAAATTCTGGGAACTACTGGTTTTGCTAGTAAAATTAAGGACAGGTAAAAAGAATATTATCACTAGACCAACTGAAAGATACCTAAGATGATATACAAAAATGATCCCTGCTAACCTTCCAAGTTTGGACATAAATTGAAAACATCTGTCTGAAAACTAAAACATTCAGTCAAACATCTCCAATGTTCCAAAAATCCCAATGTGTAGCAGGTTATGGATAAAACATTCTGAGTATTTGAGTGAGTGGGGGCAGGGCTCCATGAGGAGGAAGGTTCTGGTGCCCCATAGACCCAGACTGAGTGTTTTCCATTTTAATTGGAAAACTTTGCAGCCTCTTGTTTATAGCACAGGGGATAGGAAATCAGGCATTTGTAAGTGAAATAAAAATAGAACCAACTCTTCAATTTAAACTTCTGGAATCTTTTCCTTGAAATGTTGCCTGCAGGTCTCTCTACCCAATTATTCTGCACCAGGACTGCTCAGCCACTGTCCGAGATGATCAATCCTGAACCTAACACCATAAAATATTCAATCGCTCCATACCTTGGCCTGCTCTCTGGGCATTGTAAGTACAGCACCTCGGTCATATTTTTGCCTAATTTTTACTCTTATCAGTGAAACTAGAAGTAATAAGACTCCCAATGATAAGAGATCATTATGAAGAAAAAGTTTCTTCAACATTTATTTTTTAACACTTAAGTTCATTCTTCTGTAATTCCAAAGAAAAATTATCCATTTTATCTTGTAAAATTATATATATTTTACATTTTATCTGAAATGAAACTAGAGCCCTCCCCACCACCAAGAAGTCAAGAACAAAAAAAGCCCACTAAAAAAAGAAAAGATTGAAAAATAGCAGAATATATTAAATTGGAAGATTATTGTGGATATTCTTATAGTCTTGATGTCCTGTACCCTAAGAAACATTTATTCCACCAGACTTTGCAAGCAGAAATTATCAGATTACTTTGTGAATCCTTCTATTTGAATGTAATTTTTTGAAGGTTCTAGCCTACTTTTCCTATTGTAAATATGCTCGTGCGAATGTATATGAAGTAATATGTATGAAAGTGCTATACACTATAGTACAGTAACATATTGGATTATTGTTGTAAGTAAACAAAGCAAAATAAAGGCCAGGCATGGTGCCTCATGCTTGTAATCCCAGCACTTTGGGAGGCTGAGGTGCATGGATCACTTGAGCTCAGGAGTTTGAGACCAGCTTGGGCAACATGGTGAAACCCTGTCTCTATCAAAAATACAAAAATGAGTTGGGCATGATGGCACATGTCTGTGGTCCCAGCTACTCTGGAGGCTGAGGTAGGAGGATTGCTTTAGCCTGGGAAGCCAAGGCTTCAGTGAGCTGTGATCACCCCAGTGCACTCCAGCCTGGGTGACAGAGTGAGACCTGGTCTCAAAATAAATAAATAAATAATTGTTTTAAAAAATAAAGCAAAATAAAATATGATCTTTTTAAGTAAAAGCTATTGATGATATTCCTATTTAATCAACTTCCATCAATCTGTAATAATGCCTTGCTGAATCCAAAGTCTCCTTTTCAATTGACTAATGGAACATTTCTAGACTGACCCATTGGAGTATAGATGCCATCAAGTAATCCATCTGTAATCTGGAGCCACTTTTGTTTAAAGCTGTCCAAGTGCTTCTTGGATACTTATTAATCTATTCCAGAAAGATTCTCTATTAGCAAAGTTCTACAATATGCATTCCCCTACCTGCCTGAGTATTGAACCAAAAAATAATGGTTTGTAGGTATTATAGTAGACAATGGCCAAACTTTACCATTATGTCTATAATTATTTACACAAATTTATTTAAGTTCAATGATACATTTTCCAGAGCTAAACTTTTCAATTCAGAAAGTCAATGGGTTTTCTGAACTTAAAAAAAAAAAAGAAAAGAAAAGTCAAGCATTAGAATAACAAACTCATGATAATTGTCATTCCTGTTCTGAGGACTCAGTTTGTTTGAAAAGATTTAACTACAAAAAAGAAAAACAGTATTCAATGAATGTGAGGATGTGGACTCATTCATATATTTCCTTGAAATAGATTGTTAATAATAGTTAAAAAGACAATACCACACTGTAAGATGAAACTACTTCAATGTAATTATTCGGTCATCAAAGACTATGAACATATAAATACAGAATTATGTAATATCTTCCATAAAGTGGCTATTTACTTCAAGGTCATCATATCACTTTAACATTCTTAAGATTTTCAGTATATTATGACTATGATTTGGAAAGGTGAGGGGAGGTCTGCAGAAAATATTTTACTTCATGGATATGCTTGTGTGTATGATCTTAATTATTCACCAAAGTTTCTATGTTTCATCTTCATTTCCCTGATAGTATTACTCTAAAATGAGGAAATGGAGGCCCGGCCCGGTGGCTCAAATTTGTAATCCCAGCACTTTGGGAGGCCGAGGTGAGCGGATCACGAGGTCAGGAGATAGAGATCATCCTGGCTAACACGGTGAAACCCCGGCTCTACTAAAAATTCAAAAAAAATTAGCCGGGCATGGTGGCAGGTGCCTGTAGTCCCAGCTACTCGTGAAGCTGAGGCAGGAGAATGGTGTAAACCCGGGAGGCAGTGAGCCGAGATCGCGCCACTGCACTCCAGCCTCGGTGACAAAGCAAGACTCCCTCTAAAAACAAACAAACAAAAAAAAAAAAAAGGAGAAAGAAAAGGGAAAGATGTAAAAATGTGTTTTCTTCTTAAATCTTTTACCATCCTCAACAAATACTGTTGAGAACTTCACCCCTGGTTACTAAGGGGAAAAAATTTACAATGCATGTTTGGCACACAGATGTCCAAAGGAGACACCGCCTATCCTTAAGTGTATCATATGCTTAGAAAGAAAGACATCTTTCTGAGGAAAAAGAATAGGCAAGGGTGGAATTCCAACTTTCAACTTTATGATATAAATAACTTTGCTTATATTGAAGAAGAAAAAAGAGCAAGGAACCTTCAATAGTCCTTACACATTTCTGGGAGGTAGTAGCTAGTGCCATGCCCTACACTGCCCAGCATTCACAATAACTTACAACAATAAAATCATAGCTTTTGCCCCAAATAATTTCATCTGTCAATCATACATGATAAATTGGATTATGAGATTATTAGCACATAGTTAAATGTATTTAAATTGCAATTTGTACAGCCGATGGAGATTTCTATAAATGAACACTAGCACCAGAGCCTATACAACATGGAAAATAGCATACATAGCATAAATCAGGCAAAATATTTGGGATCATGTATGCTTAATATGTGATACATCTGAACATTTTTCATTAGCATTTTGGCGTTTTCTTTCTCCAGCCTAGCTCTAGGTTGTGTTGCTAATGGACAATATAGAGGGTATAAAGTATCCAACTTCCTTCTTCTTTTCCTTAGTTGGAGCTGAGCAATCCATTGGCACATTCAGTGGGGCAGGAGTGGTTGGCAGGGTTAGGGCTGATGAAGAAGCCTGTGAAATCACAGTATTGACTACTTAGGGGTGTTGAACAAATAAATGAATAAATCGACAATAATGGCAAGCAGGTTTCTCACCTTTGGAGAAGAAATTACAAATATAGAAAGATGAATGCTGCAATTAAACCTGCAGTACTGAATTGGAATTGGAAGTGTCAGTGTAGAATCATGGTTTTTAAATATACATAAACAGAAATAGACAGAGCTGTAGGTGTGCACGAGTGGGCGTGTGTATACAGGCACATCTTTTCTAGCTCCATCTGCAAAAAGGGCCTAGATGCAATGACACCCTGATAGAAATAAATATCCAGGGTGCTCAGGTGTTGATTTCAAAGTAGTAGCATTCGCTACTAAGGAAAAACCAAAGGTCCTTGGTAAGTGACTGAATCAAGGACTAGAGCAGGGAAACAACAAAATAAGCCTGGAATATCTTGTGCCAGAAAGTAAAAGCATGTTCAAAGAATTGTGAGGGCAAGTCAAAAGGACAAAAAAGCCAGCTTGAAAGGGCTTTTACTAACAAAGCCTGGGACAACTTGATCATCAAGTATTATAATTATAATATTGGAGTGTAACTCATTGAGTAAAAGAAGATTCTGAGCCAATACTGGTATACATGGTAGGCAGATAGATAAGATAAATGATATACGGATGGATGAATGGATGGATAGATGGATGGGTAGATAGATGGACAGATAGCGCTACCTTATAGCAGAATAACATATATGTAAAGAGAATGATAGATTATACAAAATCACCATTTACCACCCATTATAGAAATAATTTATATAGGCAAAGGTCATCAAAGGATGGTAAAACTAGTGGGTGAAAGCTCAATGAGAAAGAAGATATTTATAGTCTCAAACTATTCCCCACAAATTACTTAATTATTCATTACTTAATACGTACAAAACACATATTAAATATTCTAAACCCAGAAAATACCATCTAAACAAAGTGGTAAGACTTAAATAGCACCAAGAATGAGACAACGAACATCATGTACCTGCAGAAATCATGTACTAAGAACACAACATCAATACATGGTACTTCCTCATACAATGTATAAATCACAAAGAAAACATGAGATGAAACTAAATTCTGGAACATTCTGCAAAATAATTGTCTTATATTCTCTAAGAATACCAAGGTAATAAAGACAAGGAAAGACTGAGGTGCCGGGCGCGGTGGCTCACGCCTGTAATCCCAACACTTTGGGAGGCCTAGGCGGGCGGATCACGAGGTCAGGAAATCGAGACCCTCCTGGCTAACATGGTGAAATCCCGTCTCTATTAAAAATACAAAAAAATTAGCTGGACGTGGTGGGGGCGCCTGTAGTCCCAGCTACTCGGGAGACTGAGGCAGGAGAATGGCGTGAACACGGGAGGCGGAGCTTGCAGTGAGCCGAGATGGCGCCACCACACTCCACCTGGACAACAGAGAGAGACTCCGTTTTAAAAAAAAAAAAAAAAGACAAAGACTGAGGAACTGTTCCATATTGAAGAAAACTGAAGAAACATGACAACTAAATGCCACATGTGATCTTGGATTGGATCCTGGACTTCATAAAGAATGTTATGATAATTGGCAAAATTTGAATAGGGTCTATGGATTGGATGGTAATATGTTATCATTGTCAATTTCCTAATTGTAAAGATTTAATTGTGATTACATAGGAGAGTATCCTTGTTTTTAGGAAATACACATTGAAAGTAATAAGATACTATGTCTGAAACTTACTCTCCAATGCTTCAGAAAAGTATATAGTAATATGCACATATTATGCATATTGTGTGTTGTTTGCGTGTACAGAGAGAAAGACAGACAGAGAGAATGGTAAAATAAATGCACTAAAAGAATATTTGGGAACTTGATTGAGGAGTACTATCAAGATTGAGAGATCTTTGTGTTGTTTCTGTATCTTTTCTATAAATTTAAAATCATTTCAAAATAAAAAAAGAAAAAAGCTTAATTTTCAGTACTCCTCAATAAAATAGCAGGAAGCCCTCTTTTTTAAAACAAATATGTGTGTGTACACATACACACACAAATACAAGAAGCAATG